TTCCTGCTGCCAACAGCTCGGGACAACTCAGTGAGGGCAGCTTCTCCGGTGACAAACACAAGGCTGGATTTACTTCAAGAATAGTTCTGCACATTGGCAGCATCTAAACATACACAACTTGAGGCTGAGGAGCAGCATCCTCAAACCCTTTCCCTGCTGTCTTCCTCCCACAACTCCCGGCATGTCAGCAGCAGGAACACTGTTACCACATGACCGTGTTTAATTTGTTTAAAGACCATTTTCTCGTTCACTTTCAGGAACAGACTCATGTGAATACAACATAAAAATAAACGAAAACAAGCTCTCAGGCTTTTGTGTAAAGAATCCATTTGAATTCCGACAATGTCGCTTACGACTGTCGTTTCTTTTTATTTCTCCTGTAATACCCAGCTACGTACTCTGAAAACACAATCATGAAGGCCTTCAGAACAAAATGTCACCTCAGAGGCAGCACCTTTGGGTGCTCACCACCACACTGGCTCCACAGCAGTGACCCTGCTCCTCTATTTCACAGCTGACCGGAGCGGGACAGAATTAAGGAGAGGAATGGCCAGGACACAGGTTGATTTAATGTCCACAGGGAACAGGAAGTGTTCAAGAGCCATTAGATACGTGGAGAAGTTGATAAAAATCACCAGCACCATATCAGATGCCATCAGTTTAAGCTGTTACCTGCATCAAGAGTAGGTAACTCTGATTCCTTGCACAGTGTTTTGATGCATGTAATGCAGCAACAGAGAGTGATCAAAACCAGGTTTCACAAAGTAATCCTGAACAAAGCTTTTCCATTTATTCCTTTTAAAATTCCCTGTGTTAAAAATAATGAAAACGTGAAAGTGACTAAACCTTGGAGTTGGGGTGGGGGGAGATGGAGGGGACTCTTTCAGCAACTAGCTAAGAATTTGTCACCACTTCAATGCATGAGCACTTAGCACATTTCTGTGGTCTGGGTACTGCAACAAGCTTTGGAATTTAAAAACCAACAGAAAACCACCAAAATACTTCACATACCCCAATCTGTGTCACTACATCCCAAACCTTGCCTTTCTGATCCATCGAAGTGCCTCCCGCTGCCACTCATCCACACAACAGCTCTCTGCAGCGAGGGGTGCCGACAGGGACAACCACTGCTTGCAGCCAGGACACCCGTACCAAGCAATGGCACCCTCTCTGCATGCTGCACCTGAGCTTTCTTACTACTGCCAGCTTAGCTGGAGAGTACCCCCCATTTCAGGGGATTTTTAATACAACCCACAACACCCCTTAACATGGGCCATGGAGGAGACTGGGTTTTCCTGCACTCCCTCTTCCCTTCTGTACAACTGCTCCTTTGGACCAAGTAAAATCACTTCTATAGGACACCCCACGGGACGTCCCAACCCAGTTGCCAGCAGCACTTAGGGCAACGCAGCAACATTAATACTTCCATAATTAAAGCTGCCTTAAGACAAAGTGTGTATTATAAAAGAATCCAACTTGCATCCCGCTCGACCATAAACACACCATGTCCTGCCCAGCCAGCCCCTGGGCTACAACACAAATAGTTCAAGAATCTACATTTCCCATGTATTCTGTGCATTCATTTCCTTAGCAAACATGGCAATTCTTTCTACCATGGCCAGCAAACTAAGCAGAAATCTACCCCATAATAGCTGTACTAAAGAATCAACAGTTTACATTCACATGTTAATTTCAAACTGAAATTAACCCAAAGTGCAACATGGATTAATTTCAGTTTCCCATCGCCTCCCCAAGTACCCCAGACGAAGTTTTAAGCTATACAATTTACCCTGTCCAACATTTTCTGGCCCACGACTTCAGCACACTAAATAACACATTAATATTCCAACATGGCTGTGATAAATTCCAGTAGCCCTTAATCCCTACCTTAACATTCTGAATTTGTCATAAACGAGTTGCTGGCTTGATAAAAGTTTGTTTGCCCACCAGTAGCTGATGTGGAATCACGTTAGGGCAGAAAGCTCCCGCTACCACCAGCACAGCTCATTTACCTGCCTACCAACAGCGAGCTTAGAGAAGCGAGCAGTAAAAAGGAGATTTTCATAAAGCACAAACCTGCTGCAAGCCCAGCGCAGGGGATGGGGAGGTTACAGGGTACAGAGGGATTCCAGAGACAGACGCTTCCAACTTGTGTTGCTTTCCCACTCGGCAGACTTCACCAGAAAATGGAGGAGAAGCATGGTGTCATTTTACTGCTCCCGGAGAGCCGCTGCCAGCTCCTCCTGAGCGGGGCCGCGGTCCCAAAAATGGCAGCCCCGCCACTAACTTTAGTGCAGATGGAAAACAGCTTCTCGCTCGCACAGACTGGGCGGGCAGAGATCAAATCACCCCCGAACCACACAAAGAACAGCACCGAGCTGTCATTTAAGTGTTTCTTCTCGCTGCTGCCGGAGCTGACCTCTGAGAAATGTGTTGTGAGGCTCCCTGCCCGCGTGCCATGCCCCCGAGAGTTGTCAGTGCTGGAATGCTGAAGGGCAGGCAGAGGAAGCCTGGCGCTCGAGCTGACACACGTAAGATGTAGTGCTAGAATTTTCCTGGTGGAAAAATGGCCGCAGCTGTAAGCTGAGCGAGCGGAGCTGGAAAATATCCCACCGCTGCCAAGCCGTTAACCCCTGCGCCGCCGCGCCGAGGGGAGCCCGGGCTCTCCCAGCACAGCGCTTCTCACACTGGGCATCGCTGCCGCTCCCTCCCAGGGTTGAAAAGCTAACAGGTTTTGTGATCTGGAAAAGCACCGCGAGGGAAATGAAAGAAAAAACCCCCAAAACCCAGAGGAGTCTGTGTTGGGGCAGTTGTGCTTCCCAGCGAAGAAAACGAGTACCAAGTTTCCAAGGTGGGAAATATGAGTCAAAGATTTCAGCTCCACACCCAGCTATTTTTAAAAGCACTTTCCGTTTCAGCGGTTGACTCAAAGTTGATTCTGCTCTGCAATAGCAGCAGTGCTTTACGCCTCTGCCTTGACAAAGCAGAGCAAGCCGGGGCTGACGACTGACAGCAGTTTTCAGCTCCTGCTCGCGCTGTTTCCCGACACACGGCAGCGTTCGGAACAGCTCACCACAACACCAGCACCTACACTGCCCTTTGGTTCTCACAGACTGCTTCACCACGGTATTATGAATGTGCATCAGAGCGTGTGCAGAGACAGTTCAGCTCAGGAGGAAGGCGCCTGCTGGAGAAGCACACCGTGATTGCTGAAGTGAGCACAACAAGACTCAAATGTTCTTAAACAGCATTTACTTGAGTGCCTGGCTTCTCAGCAGCTCCTTGTGGCTACGGTGCAGTGTGCAGAGCCCTGTTATAGGAGAAATTCAGGATAAATGGAATGATTTGTCCATCTTTAATAGGACGGGCAATAAACACAGTAAAAATGCTTTGCTGAGGTCGAAGGAATACCACAACACTTGTCAGTTCTACAGTATTCTCCTCAAATAAGGACCTTCAAATGACACTTATTTTTCCCCCAAACACATGGTACTGGAGCACTCAGAGGGCACTTGTTGATGTGTGAATGTGCTGTGCCAGCTGCTGCACAAACCAACCTTCACTTGGCAACCAAACAATACATTAATCTAACGCCTATGAACTGCCTCTTCTCCTTTAATAAAGCCAGACATGTAAAACTAGACAGTTTGGACTATCTGAAATCCACAGGAATGACACACACGCATTTTTAATGACAATACTACAGTATTAAAACATGTGGATCAGCATCATCTTCATTACTTCCATTCCTAATCCTGAACAGGAAAAAACCAACACTACTAACTTCCTCGGAAGGCAGTCTTACAGTTTTATGTGATCACAGGTAGCTACTTCAGCCAGTACAATTGGAACTTCTACCTCAGCTAAAGCAACATTTTGGAGCCTCCCAAACTACCTTTAAACCCAAGAAATAACCAACCACCCGCGCCACTTAACCAGCTCCTTTCTGAAAGAAGGACTGTAACTGTGAATTATTTAGAGATCCCATACTCTGCTATTTTATCTTCAGCTCATGCACAGAATGAATTATTTAAGACATTAACGTGATGGAAACTTGGAAACTAATGAAACATTCATTTGCATCCTGAACACAAGCAGGCAAAACCGATGATGCCACGAAAGCGCTTTGTGCAACGTAACCACGGATTTTGTTCCTAGAGAAACTGTTGCACAAAGTCCTGTATCTGAACCTCCTCATGTCTGCTTCCGGACAGCCAGTGTGTCTGCTGGGGCAGCTCCCAA